AACATACGTGTGCAGCTGGACGAAACATACACGTCGAACCCCCCCAGACGATTTAAATCCCTGACGAAACATACACGACGAACCACGGCAACGGGTTAAAACACAGATTACAAATCATGCAAATATACTGTGCATTTACATGTTTCTTAAAATGTGCCTAACATTCAACATATTTACAGTAAGGGCTTTCATTTTCAGCTGAACTACTGAGTATCTTTCACAAAGCTGTTCAAGCTAAACCAGGCGGTTACTACTTGGTAGTAATCAGTTCCCATGCTCACATATAAGACAGCTGCCTATCTGCAACTGTCCAGAAGGTCACACCAAAACCAGTCTCCCCTTTCATGATCAGAAAAGAAATACATATACAGATGTGAACAGGCAGACAAAAGCCAACAAAACTATTTGTAAAACTACTTTCAAATGCCTCAGCCTTGGTGACATCTGTTACAGAATCATCACGGGATTCAGTAGCTTTGTCTCATCATAGGCATAAGTACGTCACTATATCATTTTATCTTAGTTACAGATTTAAATATATTAATCTAAAAGACAAAAATAGAAGTGAGAGAAGATACTGCTATCACTTATACACACTCACTTTCACCTCAAATGCAACCTTATTTTCAATTACTCTTTTACATAAAAATAAGAATTTTTGTACACTGTTAGACTTCTAAGAAGTAAGACACTCAGCTAGTCCAACAGTGTAGAAAGATATATATCAATGGGACACATAACACCACCATACCAACATCTACTGAAGCTACACAAACAACATGCAAACACTGACACAGACGTCACTGTATAAATTATAACAGTCAACTTGTAATCCATTCTGGTATAAATAGAGAAAAGAAGCTGCGAGAAGTTCCCTACAGTCAATGAGGTGAAATACACTGTGGATTCTTTATGATTCTGAGTTAAGAGGCTTAAAGACATGCAGCTGAATTAAGTTCTTCTGTCACATGTGCAAAAGTTAAGTCATCAGACCCCTGAGAATCTAATCAAGTGCTTTTTTTTTTTTGTTAGCATTGTTCATGTTTAGTAACAATACATGAAACTTAGATTTTAATAAGCGTAACCATGGCAATGTATCCACTTCCTATTTCCTACAGAATCTAGTACTCACCAAATGCAGATTATTCTACAATGAGGGTTTTCAAGAATAAAACCCCTACAGATGGAGAGAAGTACTCTATTAGTGTAAAGTGCTCCAGTAGTAGTCTTAAAAATACCTTAAGTATCTGGAAGGAGCACATGAGTGTTTCATCTACAGACATCATGGCACCAGCATTGTCAAACTCGCCACAGTAGTTGGGTGCTGAGAAAAGTGTGACCAACTGCCGTTTGGCAAAAAATTCATAACCATCTTCCACAACCTGAAACATTAAAGATAATGGGAGCCTATGTGTTTGTTTCTAAGCACAATGGAAGCAGGATGGGTTCAATCATGTGACAGCCATCTCACCAACCAGTCATCAATTAATTTATGCTCATCAATTTTTTATCATAAAAGCACACAAGCTTCACCATAACATTGACATCCACATAAGGAAAGGGTATAGGTTTTTATTACTCCCTTATTAAGGCTCAATGGTCAATGAGGGGACAGCCTCAGCTAGTAACATGCTAGCTAGAAATTGTAAACATAAAATATAAACAACGCTAAATGAGTACATAGTTACATGTCACACCTTGTTGCGATCTGGTAGAAGTTTTTCAATATTCCTCTGAATTATTAGTAAACTTCTACCTGTCTACACAGCCAAACAAGAAAACAGGGTGAACCAGAATCAAGAAATAGCAAAAAGTAACAACAAAAATAAAGCAAACTAACATATTAAACTGGTCATATCATACAAGACAGCATTCTCTAAGTTCCTGCCATGAGAACCACAAATCCCACAAGCATAATTTCTAGTTCTCAATCTGTTAGTACCCTCACACATCACTGTTTCCACTGGTGATACACCAACATTATATAAACATGAATTCAAATTCTATTAATAAACAATGAAATACAGAAGAAATCAGCAGGACAATATTCACCAGAAAGATCCTGAGTAAAGACAACATAATGCAAACTGCCATGATAGTAAAGAAAACATGATGAAACATTACATTCAAAATTATGGAAAACTACCACATACAGAATTCAGTGGGGTTGGCATGATGCTGCATTAACATTCGAAGTAATTGCAATTTTGTCTTCCACTAGTTCTCACATTCTACAGAAAGAGGTGCTCTATCAAGAACACCTCTTTAAATAAGCTCACAGTGATATGATTAGTTATGATAAAAAACTAAACACATTGCTGAGGGCAAACAGGCTAAAGTATGACTATATAAGAACATTATCAAAAGATTCAAGGAATTCAGGAGGAGGCCACAGCGACGCCTCAAGCACACCATATTATGATCTTTCAGGTTTTCTTCATACAAAGAAGACTGTTTACAAGTGACAATTCATGCACATTATTCATGGGAAATAGTGTTACACATTGGCCCGAACACATCACTTGGTAGCATGTTGGACTGGAAAAGGATATGAAAGAGAAGAGAAGTTAACAGCACAAATCGTTAAATTAATAAAAGTTCTGCCTGAATTCTCAACAGGTGTTACACTAGTTAATGTACAAAATGAAACTGATAAACCAATATTTATGCTAAAATTTGCAACTGATGCACATATTTGGCAGTGGATAATTTCAAAGAAACAATGACCCAATCACAATCAAATGATCCTCCCTAAAAACCAATACAGTAAATACTGATCACACCTACACTGTATACATCCCACAAAGAGAAACAGTGTAATCACATTTTTGTCCCTGGATGTGCAAAAAGCTCACTTAACACTTCTAACCAAATTCCACCCCAACATTGCCCAGGAAGCTTTTCCAATCCTAAATGTACAGTATTTCCTAGGGATATAAGCAGTAACATTTCCATTATAGAATTCTGTACCAATCTGCTGGTACACCCCATTCTTTTAACATTACAGCCTTCTGGAATGTGGCATCTTCCAGTATGGTAGACAGGTACCCTACACTGAAAACAGATATCAGGTTTCTCCACAACACCAATACAAAACTTACAGATTACGTGGTGTCACATCCTAAAAACCATAATCCTAATACTAACCAGATTACCTCAATTTCCACATGAACTTTTACTGATAAAATAATTTGGCAATGTAAATTATACTACATAAATCTTTAAATGAACACAATATTCAATTCACCTTACCTGATGCGCCCTGCAAATCAAATCAAAGTCATGTTTGTGCAAGAATTTGGCAACAACCTCTGCACCAAATGTGAAAGACACACCTCGGTCATTTTCACCCCAGCCCATTGTATCCTGTCAAGCAAAATAAGATATTTATATATGAATAAAATGGACTGGGAAAAGAAAAACAAACAAATGGCAATAACGCAGATGAATGACAAAAGAATAACAAACATTAGACCAATTGCTTGCAACATAGTGATGCAGGTGTAAGCCCTACCCAAACAGCACCGCTTTATTCAAAACTAGCATTTACTGCTGTAAAAGAAAACCCTTAATGCAAGAAACACAAATTAAGTAAATATTAGCACTTTGGATGCCAACCCAGCTATTTCACTTGTATTAGAAAATCCTTTAAGAATATTCAGAGCATGAATAAAATTATGAATCCTTAATTAAAATATGTAAATACAGTAGAACTTGGTTATAACGTCATCAAAGGGACCTAAAAATAGTGTCGTTATAAACGAATGTCGCTGTAACCGAACTGGGCACTTCCACAGTAGCCTTATGTTAGTCACGTAAAAATCTACCAAAAACAGAGTTAAAATGTTGCATTTTTTAGTGAAATACATAGTTAAGTACACTCTAATGTAACATTAACGTGGAATTAATATGGATTCTCCGTATCGTTTGTACTGTAGAATTCACCAAACCAAATTCGCGGCATACATCAGCTTTTTCCCTTCAATTTTCTATTTCACGAATCACTTTAACTTTCTCTTCAATGCGTAAAACTTTCCTTTTCATTGCCATGTTTTCGCTACTGCACTTCTCTGGGTTTAGGCAGGAACACTATAGGGTAAGTAGACAATGTGAGGTCCTGTTAGACAAGATTCTAGGAAAGGAATGCAGTTAACAACATGCGGCGTCCTTTTGCACTATTCACGCAGTCCCACCCCACACCCCTGTTTTCGCATAAAACCCACGCTCCTCTTGCAGCCCGCGGTCGTATTCTTCCAGGACAGTCATGTCAGCAAGTAGAGAAATTGAGGGTGGGCAGACACATCGAACTTTCCCACGATATCAGAGAAATTCAGGAATGAAAATGACATTACATACGAGGTTGATGCATTTGTGCATGTCGTACTAAGCAAGGTATAAAAACAGTTGCTTTATGAGGAATTAGTTCGTACCATTGAATATTTGACACAATAGACAAGGTGTCGCAGAAACCGATGTTGCTATAACTAAGTTTTACTGTACTTTAAATACAGACAACTCTCTTACTAAAATAAATCATGCACTACAGTTCTGACTCTACTCCTTCTTTCTGATCTCCAGGATCTTGTTATTTTTAGGAAGTCTGCAGAGATATCAAAGAAAGGGCACCTCCTTCATAGCATCATAAGGAACTGTTTACAATGGGAAGTATTCAAACTTGTCTCAGTCACTGTCATACAAAAATGGTGTAGCAATAATTTCTGGCAAATTAAGGGAAAAATTAAGTTTGGGGAAGAGTTTCTATAACAAGCACTTTCGTAAGAGATATATATATGCAAACAGAAATAATAAATTTTAAATAAGTGTTTACATAGGAGGGAAACACTGAGGACTAGGTAGTCATCTAGCGAAAGACACTGTGAGAAAAAATAAGACAAAGCATAAAATAATATAGTGCTATTGTGTGCCCCTCTCGATTTACTGCCTTACATCCCAATAAATGTTTGAGGATCTCTTTACCAACACTCCAAACGTGTGGACATTAATAATTGGGTGTGCAACTCTGCTGATGTATTAACATTTTCAGATCAAAACATCAATTACAGAATTCTTAATTTTTATACAAGGCAGTGAACATACAATTTGTGAGCCATTTAAATACCCAGGAACCAGGACTAACAATGTACCTGATGTAGCCAGTCTTCAATGTGTTAAAGAACAAGAACATGTCTGACCATTTCAAAGCAAGAAAAAGCATTTTTTTTATTGCTAGTGAGGTGGGACTAAGTCCCTTGTACTGCGGCCACTTCTGGCCTATTGTACCAGGCCCAGATGATAGGTGAGGGTGATTGTGGAGCAATTGGTGGAATGAAGTTTGGCAGGGGAAACCGAAGTACTCGGAGAAAACCTGACCCAACCCCACTTTCTCCACCACAAATCCCACTTGACTTGCTAACAAGCAGTCAGTGGTAGCAACAGTGATTACACACAAGGAATTAGTTCTCAGAGCATATGATACTAAACACATTCAAAATGACTTATTCTCTGTATTTTCATAACTCAGCAATAACCACTTCAAATATGTCCCACATTAATTTTCTAAACTTAATGCCAAAGTGTAATATACATATTCAGGAGTTAACAGGACTTAGTAAATAAACTTATTTCTTACTAGAAGCATACAGTAGCATAGTTGGTGGAGGCTCTATGCTACAATCCAGAAGGTCGTTTGTTCAATTCCTGAAGAATTAGCTGATTTTTCAATTGACCTAATCCTTCTAGCTGCTATGGCCCTGGGGTCAAGTCAGCCTCTAACAGAAATGAGCACCAGGAAACCTCCTGAGGGTGAAGGGCGACTGGCCCATGAGGATGACAACCTCACCACTACCTATGAGCTGACTTCCTAGAAAATGTTGGAATTTCAACATCTCACAATCCTATGGGCCTTCAGTGCCTGTTACAGGGATAGCTTTACCTTTACCCATTTCTTACTGTATCAAGGATATATGCAGTTACATGCATTACTGTCACAGTATTAATATTTAAGGATTAAAAACTGACAGCAACAAATAAAATCTGATACAAAATCAGAAGAAGGGGCACATGATAGCATAGTTTGTTGAGGCATTATGATACAAGCCGGAAGGTTGTGGGTTCAAGTCCCGATGAGATCATTGGATTTTTTCAATTGACTTAATCCTTCCAGCCGCAATATGGTCTCGGGACTACTCAGCCTCTAACAAAAATTAGTACCAGGAATATTCTTGGGGTTAAAGGGGGGCCAGCGCGTAGGGCTGACAACCTTGCCGCCATCTATGAGCCAATTGTCTACAAAATGTAGGAACCTCAACATCTCACAACCTTATGGGCCTCTACAGCCTGTCACACTGACACCTTTACTTCACTTACAAACTCAGAAGACCAGCTAACTGTACACTGATGTAAGAACTACAGATTACAACAAGGGTTTATGTTGTTATTGATTCTGCATCTGCACTACTACTACTACTACTACCACCACATAATTAATCACACAATGTTCACCATTTCTCCTTCCCAGCTGAACACACAATCTTGTGTATCAGCACTAAGCAAGTTGTATAAGCCCTACAACACAATCCATAGTTGTTCCAAGAATAGCCATTATACTAACACAGGAAACACAGAAAGCATTTCTCGTAGCATTTTAATTTACAATACCTTATCAGGATCTGACCACAACAGATCACACAGAAGTCCCTGATCTGGAACATCGGTCGGCCTCATAATTCGTCGAATCTGTTCCATACTCTGTAGGTCAGGACTTAGGCCACCATGACAACAGAAAATCTTTTCATCCACAATTGCTGCCACCGGAAGGCAGTTAAAACAATCCGTAAATGTTTTCCAGAGCTTGATATTATACCGCCTCTTGCCTGGAAATAATCGCTCATAACATATATTTACATAAATATTACCATTCACCAAGAGAACATGAAAACATATGGGGAGGGAAACTGTGGCTTGGACGAACAGTTCAGTATGCATTCCTCCATTTCCCACTGTCACAAGCTTATTCCTTTCCTGGTACTGAGTGCAAGCATGGACTTACTTACAACAGCACTATGAAACATAACCTCTCTCGCATAATTTTTCCACTTTACAATCATTATGTGATAAACTATCTCACATCCAAATTAATCTGCTGAATGTTTTCACTTTACAGTCAATAGATGATAAATTGTCTCATATCCAAAGTAATCTGTTCACTTTACAGTCAGTAATTGGATCCATAGTTTAATCACAGACAAATATATTTACTTAATTTTAACATAAAAAAAACTTAATCATAAAAAGGAATCTTACATTCATCATAGAAGCCATATATCCTATTGATGCTTGCACATTCATGATTCCCTCTAAGCAAAAAAAAATTCTCTGGATATTTGATCTTGTATGCAAGAAGAAGACAAATTGTCTCAAGTGACTGCTTTCCTCTGTCCACATAGTCTCCAAGAAACAAATAGTTGGACTCCGGAGGAAATCCTCCATATTCAAATAGCCGAAGGAGATCATAATACTGGCCATGAATATCACCTGCAACATTTACATTTACAATTATTTTCACTTCATGGATTCAATCATCTCCCCGTAGGGCTGGATATAAAACATGTCACACACTACAAATACATGATGACTACACATCATATGCCCTTGGTCCAATAAAATACATAATCAGGCCTCACGCAGACAGTTGTCAACACTACACACATAGGCCATGGAAAAACCACTTTCACATTCGACCTGGAACAAAATCCCTATTTCCAACCATAACAACTCTATGCTGCCATTCCACATACACTGGCCACCCATATCATCAATACAGTTACACTGTAACATATTAAAATTCATAACAAACAGACGTCATACATAGTACCACACTTACAAGCAAGTCTCAACAACATATAATACAAGCACACAGATCATTTATTAAAATGAGCTACTTTGCAAATAATTTCATAAAACAAACCTAAATTGATTTTTATCATTTTTTAAAATTAAGATATTTGACACCAGTGTGTTAAATAGGTTGATGCCTGAATAGTACACCCCTCTCCGATAGGATGATAAATGTGTTGTGGGTATATGGTGACCATTCCTTCTTGTACCAATCATAGATACAGTTATTGGTCTGAAACTTATCCAAATTATTAACAACAAATGTCATCAATGCGAGCAAATATACACATGGAATGGTAATATGTCAAGCTTTCTAAACAAGTCTCTACATGCATGAGTTGGGCCCACTCTCATCATTATTCTTATTATTTACTTTCGCATTTATGAAACTCTCTTTTTCCGGGTATAATGCAATTATAAAAATAATCGCATTCCTGTGGCATAAAAACAAACTTCAGCCTTTAATTACATACCACATATTTTCAGGGGCGCTTCTAATTCCAAAAGAATAGGTTGAGAAAGAAATATTTCCCGGGACTTCAAGCAGAGACCTCGTATTTCACTTTCCGTTAACTGGACATTTTTCCCTGGTCTTGCGCCACGGACTGTAGAGAAAAAACATTAGCTATGAGTGACGAATTCACTATGTGGCCATGTAATACATCAGTAAACATAAAAATATCCATGCAAAAAACAGTTCATAAAATAAGAATTAGTTTAGGGGGTATAAAATATTCAGACAAGATCTTATAATACGTAACACTCATACTAATTATATCCGAAAGTTGCGTGTTTTACTATAGAGCATTTACAGATTAAAAGAGCAAAGTAGACTGTCACCCAAACTGTACACTTAACGAACAAAGTGAACAACATATTTACCTTCTAACAACCGCGCTATAATACTATCAATGTTCAATTTATCTGTTTCAGCCATCAGATCACTCCCTATTTAACTGACCAAATTACTTATATTATCCGAATTCTTTAAGATGATACAGACACAGTACGATTACAAATCCAGCGTAACCCAATCGATTCAATCCTACATAAATGGTGGGCCCTTTCCTGTTCGCTTTAGCATGACGTCATGACGCCTACTTTCCATTGCTTCAGCTCAGTGCTGCTCCTGTGGCTCTTGAGCAAACGATTATTGTCTAATGAAAAACTGCTGTTAAGATTATTATTATTATTGCATGAACAAATAATTTTAAGGAAGTAGGTGCATTTTTCAGGACCCAGATTCTAGTGAATATGTAAAGTCAATTTAGAGCAGGAGAGTAGTATACAGTAGAAGCAGTTGTGCCACAGACTCGGATAACTAAGGATCCAGCGATGAAAACTGTCGAATTATTCGATAACTGAATCTGACTGTAGAACTAATCATTTGAATTTATATCTTAATCTTGATTCTTTGATGCGCGTGAGTTATGCCCAGATGCCGAGTCTTTTGCTTCGTGCGCGTGAGCTGCGTCGAGATACAGAGTTAAGAGGTGTAGGTGTAACTGGGGGCTTTCGAATTAGAGTGCTTGACTTGAACCTGAACGAAAGTATTGGAATGATAGTAAACGATTCAGTATATGATATGATATATACCCACGTTTCAATTTATTACTTTGTTTCTACATGGTACAGAACTGAGTTTACATTAATTACTCGACTTACGGAGGCTATCATTTTGTAGACCGGGTAACTGTGCTCTTTGTTATCAGATATATACAAAATATTATTTAATGTCTTTCAGTGTTAACGCCATTTATGGACGAAATTATGGTTGGTGTGGGTTTTGACATAATCGATCCACTAACTAATCAGATTCTTTGCATTTCGTCAAACATTGAAAAAGATTGGAAGTTATGTGAGACCGACCACTGATTCATTTGTTCATTCAGGTATATCAGTACATCAGGTACCCACAGATGTCAAGAAAGCCCATGACTAATCAAGGAGGGAATTACTGTACAACATTTGCAGTGCTTGGCATACCTATAGAAGTAGTTGGAGTAATTAAACTAGAACTCCGTGGCTTGAGTCCGCAAGCGAACTAAATCGACGAAGCGACCACCGCTTGTCGGCGAAGTTAGTGCCAACTTTGGTGCATGGAAGGTGTCGCGTGGTCGGCACAACGAATCCCTACAGCATTAATTTTGGTTTTATAGACCGGAGCCGGTATTTCCTTGAAATATCTCAATTATCCTCATGACGCTGAGTGACCCCATTCCAGACTCACTACTTCTCAGAACTGACTATATGTACGTTGTACTGCTTTGTTTGTTACTATTTCCACATCCTATGAAATTGTTTTCTGTATGGATTTATGGAAAATGAATAAATGAATGTAACTACTTATCAGAAAATCTGGTAGCGCAGGAATCGAACCCGGGACCTCTCGATCTGTAGCGAGGCGCTCGGACAACTAGATCACAGAGGTGGCCCTGTTGGGAGTAATTAAAATGTTTTAAAATGAAACCTGTGGTAAAGCATGTATAGGTAAGACGTTTCTTACCCAAAGTGGTCTGAAACAAGAAGTCTGTTTATCTCCACTGCTTGGTACCTTTTCTCTAGAATGCACCATTAAGAAAGTTCAAGAAAATCAGCTAGGACTATAATTGAATGAGGCAGCATATCAGCTTCTTGTCTATGCTGATGATATAAATTTGATGGGAGATAACACATATACCATAATGAAAAACAAAAGCATTAATCAACTTAATAGGTCTTGTCTAGAAGTAAACACAGAGAAAACCAATTACTTGTTGATGTCTCATCACCAGAATGCAGGGAAAAACCATAATGGAAAGATAGATAATAGACCCTTTTTCTGAAAATGTAGCAAAGTTCAAATATTTTGGAATCACAGTAAGAAATCAGAACTTGTTCATGAGGAAATTAACATTAAATTCAAGCAATGCCTATGGCTTTCAGGAGGAATCATTCCTATACATTTCCTGATCAAAAAATTATTAATTTATCATTTTAATATGCATACCACATGCCCTGTTCATCTCTTCCGCTTTGATTTAATCATCCTAATAATATTTGGCGAAGACTACAAATTATGACGCTCCTCATTATGCAACTTTCATAACCTCCCTCCCCCCCAAATTACTTCTCCCTTCAAGGTCCAAAATTCTCATTGAACCTTGTTCTTAAATATCCTTAATCTATATTCTTCCTTTAATGTGAAAGACTTGAGTTTCATGTCCATAGAAAACAACAGGTACAAGTAGAGTTCCATATGCCTTACATTTTTAGTTAGCAGACAGGAAGACAAAAGATTCAGAAGTGGTAGCAAGCATATTCCAAATTTTAATCTCCTCTTAATTTTTTCATTAATACAATTTGATTTATTACTGTCACTGTCAACTACATGTTATCACCATTATCATCATTAATAAAGCAATATTTTAAAACGATCATTTACATGAAAAGATAGGATGGGATTTTATGGATTGGTTTGGTCTGGCTAAGGATAGGGACCAGTGGAGGGCTCTTGTGAATATGGTAATGAACTTTTGGGTTCCATAAAATGCTGGGAAATTCTTGAGTAGCTGCAGATTTGGCAGCTCAAGAAGAGCTCAGCTCCATAAGGAAGTTATTTACATGACAAAACTATGAAGGTCTTTTACTACCATTTTTCATAAGTCTAAACTACATTTCATTACAGAAAATTTTGAGTCTGTACAGATAGCTACATTCAAAAGGAAAGTCCATAATACAGATGTGGCACAGAAACTTCCTTTTTTTGAATGCGAATAAAAGAAAAATTATTGCTGATAGACAAAATTTATGTTTAGATAATGAAAGAACATACTTTAAAGTTTTAAACAAAATATCTTGAAGGTGGTGGCCACCGTTCTCTATGCACTGATGCAACCGTTTTCTGAAGTTCCCCTCTGCACGTTCCAACATGTGCACCAGGATTTGGGCTACTTCCTGCCGAATAAGATTCTTCAGCTGAAGCAGGTTTGTGGGGCGATGTTTAAAAACCTCTGCCATTAGGTATCCCCATAAAAACAAATCACAGGCGTTAGATCAGGTGAGTGCACTGCCCATGGGATGTCACCTCAAAGCCACATAAGCCGTCCGGGGAACTTTGCCTTCAAAACTGTCATCGAAGCTTAGGCTGTGTGGGCCATGGCACTATCCTGTTGGAACCAGACATTTCCTAGATGAATTTCTTCAAGAGCTGGTTTGAAAAAGATCTCAAAATCGAATATAAAACTGCCTCCACATTTTCTGGCGTCATAACGGTCCATTGTCATCCTGATGATTTTTTCACCACACTCCCGGTTGTCCTAAAGTTCTCTACCCACAAAACAATCGATTTCCAGTTGGGAACCAGAACTCCGGGCTTAATTCCGAAGTGAGTACAGAATTGCACACTGCACCGCCACATAGGAATGGTTGTTCGAAAAATAGGCTTCGACAGCAAATGCACGCTGCTCACTCATCCACTTCATGTTTCCTACCGAGGGGTATTAGACAGAAACTTCCATGACTGCTGCAATCGCCGATCCTATCCCCACTTTTCTGCGACCTCCCCTCCCTTCACAATGTGTCTTCACAAAAAGGAAATTTCTGCGCCCCACCTTGTACTTAACAACAGTCTGTTTTGAATGTAATTACTTACTCATGGAGCTGAGCCCTTCTGGAGGAGCCGCCAATTCTGCAGCTACTCAAGAATTTCCCAGCATTTTATGGAACCCAAAGGTTCATCACCATGTTCACAAGAGCCCTCCACTGGTCCATATCCTAAGCCAGATCTATCCAATCCATACCCTCCCATCCTATCTCTCTAAGATCCATTCTAATATTGTCCACCCACCTACGCCTTGGTCTTCCCTGTGGTCTCTTTCCTTCTGGCTTTCCCACAAATATCCTATACGCATTCATCTCCCCCATTCGTGCTACATGACCTGCCCACCTCATCCTCCTTGACTTGATCATTCTAATTATATGTGGAGAAGAGTACAAGTTATGAAGCTCCTCATTATGCAGTTTTCTCCAACCTCCTGTGATTTCATCACTCGTTGGTCCAAATATTCTCCTCAACACCCTGTTCTCAAACACCCTCAGTCTATGTTCCTCCTTTAATGTCACAGACCAAGTTTCACACCCATAAAGAACCACAGGCAAAATGATTGGTTTGTATATTCCAATTTTTATGTTTTTGGACAAGAGACAAAAGGTTCTGGACTGAATGGTAGCAAGCATTACCCAAGTTCAATCGCCTCTTAATTTCCTCCTGAATCAGGTTTCGATCTGTTACCGTTGTTCCCAAATATCTGCACTGTGCCACATTTTCAAAAAGATCTGTTTCCTATCTTTATGTCTTGATTTTTCCCTGCATTTTGGTGACGAGACAGTAACATATACTTAGTTTTCTCTGTATTTACTTCTAGACCAACCTCTTTACTTGCGTCAATTAAAGTTTGTGTTTTTTTCTTTATGGTATCTATATTATCACCCAGTAGAGTCACATCATCGGCGTAGACCAACAGCTGATGTGTCCCATTTAATTTCAGTCCCACCTGGTTTCCCTGGACCTCCCCAATTGCATATTCTAAGGCAAAGTTGAAAAGGAGTGGCGATAAAGCATCTCCCTCTTTTAGACCATTCTGGATAGGAAATTTATCAGACAAATGTTTACCTACACAGATTTTACTATACGTTTCATTTAAACACATTTTAATCAACCTAACTAGTTTCATGGGTATCCCAAACTCTATCAGAATATTGTACAATACTTCCCTCCTAACTGAATCATAAACTTTCTTGAAGTCTATGAATAGCTGATGTATTGTCTCATCATATTCCCATTTTCTGTTTTGAATGTATGTAGTCAAAATATGAGGTATTTTCATAAAGAATAGAAATGTGTACATTTATTTTCATTGGTTGCATCCTGTTGTGTCTCTCAGACAATATATAATATGTAGGAACTATTACTATTACATTTAGATCTTGATTTACTGCAGTAAATAAAGATCTACATGTAATACTGAGATATTTGTTGTGTTGATGGTAGCATAGTTCCTACATATTATATTTGTACCTTTACAGTGATGAAAATAGGTTATGATCAGCATATTCTCAAAATGGAAAATAGCACTGTAAAGGATCATCACACTAAATACTTATGCGGTGCACAGCTCAAAATGATCCAAGAGATTCATTTTTCCTGGTTCAGCATCTCTGGCATGACTGGACCATATAGGTTTTTGTGGGCAGTGTCTTTTGGATTTCCCTTCTGGAGTGTATTGCTTTCAGAAGAAAGAAACCTCTCCCAAGATGTACTTCTTATCCTTGGATCCCTTTACAGTGTAGTACAAGGAGTCCCCACTCTTCCAGATAGTGACAGTGTTGGAGACAGTTTGTAAAGCAAAATTTTGTAATTTGAATCACTACTGCCAACAGGCACAGTGATATAACTGTGGGTTATGTTACTGAACACCACCACTACCAAATCAATTTTCTTGTATGAAACTAAACACATGTACATCAGAAACATCAGATTATATTATAACCACTACTGAAGGCCCTATTATGCAATAATATACCACAAAGTTTTATTATTTCAACCTTCATTTCCACTGTCATAAGCTTTCTACAGATCTTCTTGATAGGACCATCACTTCTCATAGAACTCTTCCTTTTATCAATCAAGGTAAAGGTAAAATTGCCCCTGTGCTCAATTAATTCAGCACCATGCCATGAAGATGTATGGGAGAGTGAAGATGTAACTCCATCATTCCTGACCTTGGTACTAGGTAGAGGTGAGTAGATACATTTCATACCCCAGTCATTTTACCCCTGGGGAAAGAGCCCTCATTAGTAGGATGTGTAGTCCCCAGAGCCACTCTGAAGAAAAGTCCCTTGCCCCTGATGAGAAATGAACCCAAGCTGTCCAGCATGCAGCTCATCACTACACTCATTGAGCTATCCCTTATAATTACTAGGTTACAAACCACAAAATGTTATACAAGATGCACAATAGAGTAGAGTATATGGCAAACTGGACAGTATTATATTTTTTTCCACTTTCATCCCTGCATGTTCATCTTTGTTCTAAAGGAATTCTGAATGAACAAGTTCATGTTTGGATGGATGACTTGCCAAGATAAAGGAATGTGCTTCATTATAAGAGTTTGTATGAGCGAAATTTTAAAATTCAAAGCTCTGTTAAGTAAGACCAATGTACATAAAACCAATGAAACTAAATACATAAAGCTCAGTTTGAAATTACACATGACTGAAAGTTACCTTTGCTTGTACATATTGAATAACTAGTTAACAGTTAAAACACTAAAAAGTCATTAATTTGATAAAATATGAGGAAGAGTCAGTAAATAAGTCACAAATGGATATAAAACACAAAACATATGATATTTAAACCTAGAAAAAATATTTATTTGACATAGCTTCCACCAAAATTGATACACTTGTCCCGTTGCTTTACCATTGCTTTACCATATGCTGAAACCTGCAGTGTAGAAGTCTTTTGACTATTGTCTCAGTCTCAGCCACTCGTGCACACCCTCTTCAACCTCTCCATCATCAGTGAAACATCTGCCATGTTTCTCAAGCCAGCTGTGAACTGCTTTATGCAACAAACACTTCCCACCATAGAGAGGAAACATCTCTTTATGGATATCTTTTGCATCATGTCCTTTTGCCTACAACAAAAATGCACAACAGAACTCTGCTCTTCAGTAGTACACAATCAAGCACAGTCGCCATTTTGACTACTGAAACCAGCCTGTGAATATGCATGTCTGCTACGTATACTGTCACAAAGCTGAACTGTGCTGCTGCCTAGTGATTCAGAAAACCTATTATGTCCATTACAGCTGTTTCAGTTCCATTTGTGATCTATTTACTGACTCCATCGTACAGTTCGGTTTTCCTTGGTATTAATATCATCATTTATTTAAAAAGACTCCATCATACAAACTGTAAAAGCATTTACTCATATAAAAATATATATAATCATACTGGAATTAATGTTCTTGTAGAGAATATGAAATGCATAATTAAATCAGTCACTTTTAGTCTTCAATCTGAAATGGAATGTTCTTAATGGCACTATCAAAATTAAAAATTTAAAATATATTTAACCTCATATATAATAGCACAAAGCAGAGATTTACCTTTCATCATAAAATAGTTTATACAAAGCAGTTTTGTATTTCTTCAGTACTCAACAGCAGATGCACTCTAAAGAACATAGTAATATATGAATATATGGATATATAACAAAACTTTAAATATACTATTCATGTCAGACATATATATATATATATATATATATATATATATAATCAGTAAATTTAATTTTTACAGTTCAAATTTAGGTGGCAGCTTGGGCACACTCCTTGCTGCAAAAAGGCTGCTCATTTTTCACAAGAAACTTGCCACCCAACAATGATTTTGTGCAGCGAGAACAGCGGAAACAGTTAGGCGACACATGCCAACTCAAATCCTTCCACCCCACACGCTGGTCTCCAGCTGCGATCTTCAGTTTACAAGTGTGACAACTCTGAAATAAGAATATGCTTTAAGACTGCACATGTTCTTATAGTTATTAATCAAGAGAACATAAAGTGTTTTACATGATTTAGTAATAAACTCCCTCTTTTAATGAAAGACAACTGAAAATATTGCATCAATAATGGTGAAAGATGACAAAAGAAATCACAAGTAAAAATTCTTGTCCTTGGAAAATTTGTACATACCTCTGAAGATAAGACTTCCAACACCAATGCTCTTTATACCCACAGGTACTGAGGAGAGCATGAAATGAGGAACAGTGCAGTAATTTTTAATATCCTCTATCCCAACTCCTTTTAAAGTACAAGGTGGTTCAAACAGTTCAAATACAACTGGGACTGATTTTTGTGTAAACAAACCACACTGCGCAGCAGCTGTGCGACCTTAGGAGAGTGAAGCCACAACCTCCACCCTCCCTCCTGTTCAGTCCTGTCTGAGAGTTGCTAGAGTGATGAGCGAACAGAAGGTACCACAGAGTGTGGAACAACACATCGTGATCAAATTCCTCGGAGAAAACGTCCCGTCCGCTGAAATTCACCACAGACTCCAACAACAGTATGGGGAAGAGTGTCTCTCATGGACCCATGTGTCTGAGTGGTCTAAGTGCTTCAGAGAGGGCAGAGAGCACATGGAGAATGAACCGCATGATCATCAGCCACGAATATCTGTCACCCAGCCTAACATTGATCATGCAGACACGCTTATTCGCGAGAATAGGCGCATCACTATCAAGGAACTTGGACTGATATGTGCAAGTAAGTGTTTGGCAATTATGGCTTTTAAAAAAAACATCAGTCCCAGTCATATTTGAATTACCTTGTAATTAATTTTACTGCCTCAGGGACATTCTTATAATAAACAATATAGCAGACCTTGAACATATTTCCCATGCAAAGATTTTTAGCTTTATCAGTGGCAGTCTTACTCATGCAAAAAAATGTTATACTTGCTTTGCTGAGTTTGCAAGCATTTAAATACACAAATAACTGTTACAAGGCAGGTATGAAATATTTGTATTTCCTGTCAACAGCATAGTATTTCACCTTTACCTCCAGACGAAGCATAATACTTGCAGGGAGCAAAATGTTCCACTGATTTCCTGCTGCCTATTGCTTTGCTCCAGTCTTCTGTCTGAACTTTCCAGCAGCATGAGCAAATGTTTACAGAAGGAAGCACATTTATAAACATGGGCATAAAGTTAGATGACATTCATTGCCTTTGCTTCAACAAAGCAAGACAAACCAGCAGATGTCACATACTGGGCAATAATGGTATTAATCACATATGATGATGATGATGATGATATATTAGTATCAGAGACAGAATTTTAGAGATAAACTGTAAAAATAATCTTCATAAATTCTCCTTATTGCTACAGTAACAGTATGCAATAAATAATGAAAGATTGAGAAAGAAAATGTTGTGGTAGAAGAATCAAATAACTGTGACCTGTGAACTTACATGGTGCCACATGATGGAAATAATGTAAGTTTTCAATATGTAAATACATTCTGCTTGAACACAAACATACTTACTGCCTGTACTGTTTTAAAAATATGATGGGTAAGGAGTAAGAGCATAGAGTTCATTAGTGATAGGATGTCATACATTATACTAAAGAGGTCACTGGTGTGATATCACTTTGAATGTTCATACCCCAACATAAGATAAAATTGGTGATATAAAGGACAGGTTCTATGAAGAACCAGAACTTGTATTTGATAAATTCCCAAAGTACAATATGAAAATTTTGTTAAGAGATTTCAATGCTAAAGTAGGTACAGAAGATATTTTCAAATCGACAATTGGGAATGACAGTTTGCACGAAATTAGTAATGATAATGGAGTTAGAGTAGTAAACTTTGCCACATCCAAAAATCTTATGGTCAAAAGTACAATGTTCTCACATCGTATCATTCATAAATGTACTTGGACATCTCCTGATGGGAAGACACATAATCAAATTGGCCATATTTTGATAGATAGGAGATGGCACTCAAGTATATTTGATGTCCGATCATTCAGGGCAGCAGGTTGTGATATTGGCCACTACATGGTGGTGGCAAAGGTTAGGGAAAGACTAACAGTGAGTAAGCAAACAAAACACAGATAAAATGTTGATAGGATATGGATAGGTTCAATCTCAAAAAATTAAATGAGATAGAGGGTAAGGAGCAGTATCTCAAATAGGTTCGCAGCTTTGGAAAACTTAAAACTTGGGAAACTGTTAGAGAGAATATCAAAATTTCTGCCAAAGAGAGTCTAAGTTATTATGAACTCAAGAAGCATAAGCCACGATTCAACAAAGGATGCTCAAAATTATTAGACCAAAGGCAACAAGCAAAACTGCAGTGGTTAGAGGATCCATGCAAAATAAATGGGGATAAGCTGAACAGCAAGATGTGAAACCAGCAGACATTCAGAAATAAAGAGGGAATATCTGATTGATAAAATTGATGAATTTGCAATGAACAGTAAGAATAGGAACATTAGACACCTGTATAGAGGAATAAATGACTTTAAGAGCGGTTACGAACACAGAAGTAATTTAGTGAAGGATGAGAATGGTGATATGCTTGCAGATTCCCACAACATTTTGAATAGGTGGAAGAACTACTTCTCTCTGTTATTGAATGTACATAGGGTCAATAATCTTAGGCAGACAGAAATAGATACAGCTGAGCTGTTAGTACCTGATCCTAGCTCTTTTGAGGTTGAAATTGCTACTGCAAAATTGAAAAGGTATAAATTGCCACGTAGTGATCAAATTCTGGCAGAACTTGTTCAAGCAGGTGGTTCTAAGACCCACAATCTAATTACTTCTATTTGGCATAAGGAAAAATTGCCTGATCAGTGGAAGGAGTCTATTATTGTACCAGTTCACAAGAAGGGTGATAAAACTGACTGTAGTAATAATTATCGGGGGTTATCACTGCTATCAACTTTATACAAAATTTTATCCAATATTCTTCTCTCAAGGTTAAGTCCACATATAGATGAAATTATTGGAGATCATCACTGTGGGTTTGACATAACAAATCAACTACAGATCAGATCGTTTGCATTCGTCAGATATTGGAGAAAAAATGGTAGTACGATGAGACAGTACATCAGCTATTCATAGACTTCAAGAAAGCTTATGATTCAATTAGGAGGGAAGTACTGTATTGTATTGTATTCTGACAGAGTTTGGGATACCTATGAAACTAGTCAGGCTGATTAAAATATGTTTAAACAAAATGTATAGCAAAGTCCGTACAGGTAAACATTTGTCCGATAATTTTCCTGTCCACAATGGTCTACAATGAGGAGATGCTTTATCACCACTGCTTTTCAACTTTCCTTTATAATATGCCAGGCATGTCCAACTTCAAACAAATTGTGATCGACTTTTTAGTGTCAAAACTGCCAGTGATCCATCAACCCCTCCTATCATTGTACCTCGCTTTAAGCAAAAATATTGGTAAAAATAACACAACACATGATGTTTGTTGTAAAAGCAACAAACATTGAAAGTACAGACTATCTTAATAAGTATTTTCCCTTCAAAATCTGAATATAATCATATTATATTACAAGTGAATTTACATGCTTTTCACATATAATTTCCTTATAGGCCTATGAGATCGACCAAAAATCGTCCCGCGATCAACGCGTTGGACATGCCTGTGATATGCCATTAGGAAGGTCCAAGAAAACCAGGTGGGACTGAAATTAAATGGAACACATCAGCTGTTGGTCTATGCTGATGATGTGAATCTACTGGGTGATAATACAGATACCATAAAGAGAAACACACAAACTTTAATTGATGCTATTAAGGAGTTTTTTTTTTAATTCGCTTAGTGGGGGGGTGGAGTCCAACTGGGTCCACTCAGCACAGCGGCCACTGATGGGCTCACTGTACCTGCCCCAGGTGATTATGATGCTGGAGAATTTGGTGGAATGAAGATTGGCAGGGGAAACCAAAGTACTGGGAGAAAATCNAATCATGATATAAAGATAGGTAAAATCCTACTTAACCAGACCCAGGATTGAACCCGGGCCACAACAGTGGGAAGCCAACGACTAACTGCTTGAGCTATGGCACAGCCTTTAGTAAGGAGTTGGTCTAGAATTAAACACAAAGGAAACTAAGTATATGTTGCTATCTCGTCAACAAAATGCAGGGCACAATCATGATATAAAGATAGGTAAAATCCTACTTAACCAGACCCAGGATTGAACCCGGGCCACAACAGTGGGAAGCCAACGACTAACTGCTTGAGCTATGGCACAGCCTTTAGTAAGGAGTTGGTCTAGAATTAAACACAAAGGAAACTAAGTATATGTTGCTATCTCGTCAACAAAATGCAGGGCACAATCATGATATAAAGATAGGTAAAATCCTACTTAACCAGACCCAGGATTGAACCCGGGCCACAACAGTGGGAAGCCAACGACTAACTGCTTGAGCTATGGCACAGCCTTTAGTAAGGAGTTGGTCTAGAATTAAACACAAAGGAAACTAAGTATATGTTGCTATCTCGTCAACAAAATGCAGGGCACAATCATGATATAAAGATAGGTAAGAGATGTTTCGAAAATGTGACATAGTTCAGATATTTAGGAATAACTATAACGAATCAAAACCTGATTCAGGAAGAAATTAAGAGGAGACTGAACTCAGGTAATGCTTGCTACCATTCAGTTCAGAACCTTTTCTCTTTTCATCTGCTGTCTAAAAACATAAAAATTATAATATACAAAACTATAATTTTGCCTGTGGTTCTGTATGGGCATGAAACCTGGTCTCAGTCTTTAAGGGAGGAACATAGACTGAGGGTGTTTGAGAACTGGATGCTGAGAATATTTAGACCAAAGAGAGATGAAGTGACAGGAGGTTGGAGAAAACTGCATAATGACAAGCTTCATAACTTGTACTCTTCTCCATGCATAATGAGAATGATCAAGTCAAGGAGGATGAGATGGGCAGAGCATGTAGCACGAATGGGGGAGAGAAGGAATGCATATAGGACATTGGTGGGAATGCCAGAAGGAAGGAGACCAGAATATTAAAATGGATCTTACAGAGATAGGATGGGATGGTATGAATTGGATTGATCTGGCTGAGGATAGGGACCAGTGGAGGGCTCTTGCGAACATGGCGATGAACCTTCAGTTTCCATAAAATGCCGGGAAGTTCTTGAGTAGCTGCACAACTGGCAGCTTCTCGAGAAGGGCTCAGCTCCATGAGTGAGTGAGTGACTGAGTGAAGGAGTAAACCTTAATAACCAGATATCCTCAGAAACAGGCAAGTTATAAAAATAACTGAATGTGTATCACACACATTATCACTATTTTAACCTGCTTTGTCACAGTGTTAATAACATCCATCTCTCACCTTGCCATATTTGTTCTGGAAACACTCTAGACACACAGGCTGGTTATCCTTGGGAATGTACTGCTTCCCACCAAGTGGTGTATCACATTCGTAGCAACAGAAATGCTTTACATGAAATGCCTTTCCTTCTGCACATGTATACTCTTTTACAAAGATCAGCTGCAAGCAAACATATATTAAAAGTTTTAAACTGGAGAAAATTTTCATCTTGTCTGGATGTCAGTTCTATTGTAAGCAATTTTTTTTTTCTTTTGAAAGTTTTAACCTATTCACTGCGAACTTAGGATCTGAAGTGTTCAATTCCTTGTGTGAGAATGCAGGGCGACAGCTGTAATAGGCGACTGGTCCATACCGGGCAATGATGTGTGGCATTTCATTTTCACTCAGTATTCACAGATGACAGGGAGGTGGCCATTCTGTATTACTTCACTAGCTTGTGGGTTAACTATTGATGTATACTTTGTGTTTCTTCCTTCAATTTCCCAGTGCATGTGATAACAGTTTATGAAAATGGCATGCCGTAAGACCCACAGTGCATATTTAAAATGCCATTTCATACACAGCATCAGGTTATTTAAATACCCACACATGGGGTTAATGTCATTATGTTGAGCAAAAATTGAGAAAAATATGGCATAAGACATTTTCCAGTAATTTTGTTTCCACACATACTACAGTGAAATTTCATTCAGATTACCTCCAGCAATTCTGAATGTCACATTTCAGTACAGCTCTTATGGTAAAAAAGGTTAATTTGTCCTATGCTTAACTAATTAAGCACTACACCATTAAGGTTTCTGGAGGAGTGGATGTATAGATCCACATTTTAACCTTGGCAATAGTTGGAGGTCAGTGGTCAGCTTCACGCCCTGGCCGCTTTACCCCAGGGGAAAGAGCCTCTAGTACCCACTTGATAGGAGGGTGGGAAGACCACAGAGCCAGTCTGGATGACGTGGAGAAGAGAAAATTCTGGACCCTACCAGGACTTGAACTCTGATCACTCTGTCATACAACCCATAGCCAGTCGCTATACCAACTACGCTATCCTGGCTCCTTTCAGTACAGCTGTTACTTGTTTGAATTAAGAATTCCTATCTGGCATGTCTATTACAAGAGAATATTGTGATACCCATCTCACCAGCCCACTGGTGTGCTGCTTGTTACCTAGCAATGAGCTATAAACATCCGTCCTATTGATACGTGCACATATTGCAAGGTGTTTATCGAGCCGTTGCATGGCAATGCGTCGACATGTCACAATATCTTTGCCACCAGAAGACCTTAAGTATTGGTCTTTAAAACAGTATTAACGCCAATTATATGACAGAAATAACCTATCACTAGTGGTGGCAGAAGATTCTAGTATATTGCATACAAAATCTTAATAATAATTAAGGTGGCATTCATACAGCAGGACAATGGCCTGAACATGTTAAAAAGTTTAGAAATGGCCTGAAATGACAGCATGTGAACAATTAAAAATTGAATACTGGAAAATACTAGAAATGATTCTTAAACCAGAACAAAGGGGCATTAATAAAATCAAAGCTGTCAATAAATATGTAATATCACTTCTTGCATATTCATTTGACCAGTCAAATTCGATGCCACGGAACTGGATCTCTTCATATACTTAACACTAACCACCTGCAGTAATACTACATGCACCACTCTTTAAATCTGTAACTCTTTGCACTCTTATATCATAAGGATATGCACAGACAGATGTGCAAAAGGATAAAGCATGTTATGTTTACTGCTTCAAAATACAGGTGAATTACAACCAGAAGTTAGTCAAGGTCTGTTTTGTATTTCATCAGTGTTTTCCCATTGGTAATGGAAAGCTACATGATACTTATTACTTCCATGTGTCTTACAGTCCAAAGGTGTAACAGATTAGTTTCCAGAAATTTTCTCCCCAAATATGAGTATATCATACAGTGTGGTGAATCTTATAGTTTTGAATATATAGTACTTCTTTCAATTTTGTAAGAAATTTACAGTTGTTTCATTACACATAGTTTACAAGATGTTGGTGGAATATTCCACGAAAGACTTTTTGAATAAGTTAAAACTCAATTTACTAATTAATTCTAGTATTTAGGTTTTCATAGCCAGAGCTAAATGCATGGCTTTGGGTTTTGGTTCTTGGCCACACTGAATGTTCAGGGCTTTCCAGAGTTTTGGCAAACCATGCAGTTACCATCATCAGGGTTAATGAATTTCGGAGGGGTTGGCAACTTTTATACAGCTCTCACAACACAGTGTACTGGACATGAAGCTGTGACTGGATGTACAGAGGGTGGGATGCTAACTAGCGGGAAGTGAACATGTGGTTAGTGAAGAGAGCTGATAAAAAATATTCCAGTGACCAGGTGGTCCTGAAGAAAGGTGGGGAAAACATTAAAATGACACCATGTTTAGGGCAAGAGGTGATGGAAGAATTGTTTTCTCCCCCCCCCCCACATACACACACAAACGAACAGAAAAAGGAGTTCAGTGATTGTTAGATGAAGGTGGTTTGGCAGTGGATGGATTTGGGGGGGGGGGTGAAGACAGAATTTACTCAATCCATTTCCATCTTTGCAGATAGAGGACACCTCTCCTGATGATACAGGAGGTCCAGATATTGGCTATGACCTCTATTCTGTGAAAACAAATGCTGTGTTTTGTATCTGCACAGTGCTCAGCTACTGCTGAATGCTATTTCTCCAGTCTAGTGTTTCTGATATTCCAAAATCCTGGTGGGTATGTGGCAGACTGTTCAGCTGAGGTACACCTTACTACATAAGCACGGATCTTGTAAACTCTGGATTTTTTAGTCTGTGGCTGCCTGTCCTTGGTGGACTAAAGTGAGATGCCAGTTTTGTTACATTGTTTCTGGACTGCGTGAATGCATTTTTTTTTAGTGGCCTTGTGATGCAATTACATATGACATGTAAGGCAGGTATGCTGTTTGGTTCTTCTTGTTTTAGTTGCAGACCTGGCTGTGGATGCTCTGTTGAGATCCTGAAGGGACTACCCACTGGCTCAGAGAACAGACTTCATATGTAGTTTGACAGCCAGGTTGGACTCATTACAGACTGTTTTGGCTCTGCCTATTAACATGGTAATGATGGATCTCTCATGAGCCAGTGGATGGTGTACGTTGCCTGCATGTATCTGTAGATAGCATAACCCAGGGAGTCATCCAGACATCCAAAAGGGCAATAGTTGACCCCTTCCCATTTCCATGGTGAACCTGGTATCAGGGTGCCTGAAGTTAAAGTGGCCAAGGCACAAACTGTGAGACACAATACATGCACAAAAACATATTACCACTCAAATGACATCTAAAGAAACACATTACAATATGCATTGACAGCATTTGGTCAGAAATTAAAGTGGAGCTCCAGTGCGGCCATTCCTAGAATTTTCTAGCCACATCTTGTACATTCGTTACTCTAGGGTTATTTATGTCTCTTGTTTGAGCCAGTTTGCTGTGCATGCTCAGCAGCAGTAGAACATATCATACATACTTCATCACAAGCAAAGCACCGAGGGATGTTCAGCAGTTCTGCATAATGACGACCACAGTAAACTTCGCCTTTATGGTAGAAGTAAATTAGATCCACAAGCAACTCCTATGTACCAAACAAAAGACTGTGTCATGAAAAGATTGAAAGAAAGCACATAAATTATACTACTATATCCGGTATTCATATTTCAAATAACATTTTCATTATTATGCACTCTTGTTATTCAAAACTTTAAATAACTGCATAATAAGGCATGTGTTTAAGTACACCTACATTTTAGCTTCGAAAACATGACTGATACACATGAAGTAATTTTGTATGTTATTTAAAGATCCCATACCAAATGCAGAATTTAGATAGCAATGACTGAATAGGATTATGAATGGTAAATTATGAAACTGATTATCTGTATCTGTATCTTTATTTTAATTCCATAGATCCCTAGTAGCTACCAAAATCATCAGATATGGAACATGTCACATATGCATACAGTAGTTCTAAACACAGAACTAATCACCTTAAAACTACATTCATAAAAGAAACAATAATATACATAATTCAGTAATTTAGCAAGCATATATGACTCATCAACTTGACAGTAATACTTTATTAAGATCACAGCTTAGGTTATATAAACAAATAACAGATTTTAATCAATTAATTTATACAGTGTACTATATAAACAGCACTATAAATTACATGTCATCTGTGTTGCTACTGAGTTGAACAATCTGGATGACATTTAATATGTTAGATTTGTCCCTCAAAATTATAGATAACTTTCAATATTCTGCTGGAATAATACTGTCAAACAGGCAACGACTACTCCATTCATCGTCTGATCTTCACATTTAATTCCACACTAAACATCTGCAGATGATCATTAAACAAGCTCCAAAATAAATACATGTGACCGCCACCATTAGTGGCTGTTTCCCCTCTTCTGTCTTCTCTCATACAAGTATTTTATTTTCGTCAAAGCCCTTGCATCCAGTTACTTATTTTTTTAGTACACTATATCCACTTTATAACCAAGTTAAAAGGTAAAAAGTAAGTAAAGCTATCCCTGTACCAGGCCGTGAAGGCCCATAGGGTTGTGAGACGTTGAGGGTCCCACACTATCTAGACAATCAGCTCAGATTGAGGTAAGGTTGTGAGCCTTACGCGCCGGCTGCGCTTTACTCCCCAGGAAAATTATTTAATTAATTCCTGGTACTCATTTCTGTTAGAGGCTGAGTAAACCCCAGGGCCTAGTGCAGCTGGAAGGATTAGGTATTTCTATTTTTTGGTTTTGAGAATATATTCTAATTGCATACAAACACTTACCTCACAAGTACAGCACACAAAACACTGTGGATGCCAGGCTGCTTGTTCACCTGCTCGTTCTGCCAGTACACCAACTTCACCCGCTAACAGTGGTTTTTTGCACTTGTGACAATCCAAATGGTAATCTTCAAGTTCAGATGATTCATCTACTAGCCCTGTTGTAATAATAAAAAAAAAAAATGCATAACATTAATATATAAGTAATATAAATAATATGTAAAGCAGAAACATAAAACTAATTTCAGAATTCCCAACATGAAAAATCATACCAAAAACTTGGTGCAGACAAAAAGAATGGCATGGGATACAGTCCTGAGGAGATAAGAGCACACTTTCCTCCCTGGAACATAAAGTCACAATATGCGATTCTTGCAGCAGTTAAAATTGAGACTGTGGTCTTCTTGGATGTGATGCTGTATATTTCCATAAATTATGGTGTCACTTATCAACAGAACTTAATGTTAAACATGAAATCACCCCACAACCTCTCTATTACAGTAGCTTCCAAATTTATTTCATCCAGAAACCATATAAATGTAGTGGACTACAGAAGAATGAAAAGACCACCACTACCATTAACACAAGGGTCTGTCTTTACTTTCTATTTTTTCACAACCTCCACCCAAATATTTTACTACTACAATGAATTTGCAACTGTATGGATACAGTGATCATAAGTGATTATATGGATAAGGTTCGATTGCTATTGGACTAGTACCAATTTATGTAAAAATCATCCCATTTTAAGCATATCTGAAAGCTAGCCACCGATAAGCAAATCCATATCATTCCTACACCCTGGACAATTATAATATCAGTGGACCACTTACATCAATGGCCATCATCACTGGACTGTGCTGCTTCTTAATGCATCTGCACTACTATCATACACGGGAAAGCTGATGTAAGATATGTGTATCAGTTCAAGATGCATACTACAGTGAAGGTAGACATGGGAATGGAATTTAAAAATATGAGTGAAAGCGCTCTTACATTCTTAATGTATTTGTAAGGAACAACACACACACACTCTCTCGCTATTAATCACAATGGCACAAATTCAGATGTCACTGTGGAAGTCTATCGAAGTCTTGAGGTTTCATATTGCTCTGTTCACTCATGTTTTCATTTTTGGGTGATGACTTCATGCTGTAGTCAGCTGGTCTGCCAATGTTTCAGAGAAACTAAAAGCTTCTGTATTTAAGACAAATTAACTGGCAGCAGATTTAGTCTCCATATTTAAAATACAGTACTCGATGGTCACAGGGGCAGTATATCAGAACAGAACCTGAATTTTACCACTCTATCATGGCCCAATGCAGTAAATATGATTACTACATCTATTAATTTTTCCAAAATGCTGGCAAACCTGGGTATCACAATACTGTCACTGTGATGGAACTTCATTACAGTGACAAAAATCATCAGCAAACTCAGTCTCCTAACTTTACTTATATGGAAAATCATGAATAAGACAAGAACATTCTTCAGGCACATTCATCATTATGAGTAATTCCTAGTCACAACTTTTTTCTACAACATTTTCAGTGACTGTATCTGTAGTTTTGCTTCCCACCTATTTACAACAGGCATTCCATATAGGCTTCATTAACTGCCCCTTATCTAGGAGATGAAAGTCTACAGTCCAGGATCTGAGTACTGTATAAGTGAAGAGAATATACTGAACCTAGAGGCAGAAGTGCTTAGTGTGATGTGCAAGGATATTTAATGTCCTTTAAAAAAATTAACTGGCAAACTTCTCAAAATGACATACAGTTACACAAGGGGATGTTTCCAGGACAGCATTAACAAGAACTGATAGCTTCAAAAGTCAAACTTCCCTCAAATTTTATGCAACAAGAAATGTCCACATGAAATCATTTCACTATAGTAACTTGCTTCACTCTAATGTGTCACTTGGTTAGTGAACTGAGGTTGGAAATGTCTGTGATTGCACTGCATACTGAAGGTGAAAGCCACTGAATTATAAATATGACAACAACAAAACAGAGGTACTTAAGACTTGTAAAACCTAGACCCATTGCTAGACATTGCTAAGCTGCTATACAACAGAAGTTGCTAAGTAATGACTCTGCAAACAACAGCCACTGCTAGCCAATGGCTGAGTAGCATCACGTGGGCATCCCAACAGACACAAAGGCAACAACTGCACAGCAACAGATGAACTGTATTTTCTGTGTGGTCCATGTCAAGACGTTATAAGCAGGCCAAGTTACGAGCTGGAGAGATTTGGTTGGCTGGTGAAAGAGTTAGATAACCGCTGGGGTTATTGTTGTGAGCTGCTGCTGTTAGAAGCTAGTAGATGAAGCCGGAAATAGTTCAAGAATTCAGGGAAAGATGAACATCCACCATTGAAAGCCACTACCAAGCAACAGCTAGTAAAGACTGTACCAGACTGAGAAGACATAATGTGTCCTGTAGTGGTGTCAGAAATGTGTAGAACAGTGACACTATAATCTTTACTTGCAGTCATGAGTTGTAAGAGTTCAAAAAATTTGATTACCAATCCAAACCCCATCTATAGTCACTAAAATCTTGACCATACATCTCTGCGAAGTTGGTGGCTCAACAAAGAGTGAGGTCAGAAGACAGTATGGTTTCATTTCTTTGACTTCATGGTTCAGACAATGCTAAAGTTGCCAAAAATGTTGAATTATCCTCCCTTAGCTTCGCATTTCTGTAACATCCACTTCAAAAAAAATGAACTGCACATCAATATTGTCACGTATCATGGTAACACAACATGAAATTAATGGGTTCCAGATTAGAGGAAGCTGTTTACTGAATAAGTCGTTTACAATTACAATTACAATTACAATCACTCTGAAATAACATCTTCCAGATGATGCAACCAGACGAATCTGTCATCTTATGGTTCTCAGCCGAGCTGGTTTCTTCTGTTCTCAGATCTGCTCTGTTCGCCTCCGTTCTCAGCTCTTCTCGTTTCTCCTCTGACCTGTTCTGAACTTTGGTCTGTTCTGTTTGGTCTCTTACATTCTACAGTCGGAGAGCCTAGAAGACACCTTCATCAACGTTTCTGTTTCATGTGTTCTATCTGCCGGTTGCTAATGTTTTTGTTGCTGCAGGAACTTCACTAGTTCTGGTTCTTTACCTGTGTGTTAATGTCTGTTATGTACGCGTTGTCATGTGAACCTGTTTCATTGTCACCCTGACGATACAGAAACGAGGAAACCAAGCCATTGCCTAACAATGGACACCTTCTGCGACTCAGATATCTTAGCTTTTAAGCAGCATGTCATAATATTAAATTTTCAAACCTTCGTGCTGTACTGTGACATAGGCAGATGAACTTGAAGATCAAGTATTTCAATCATCTTCAAATATTATGAGCTTCTTTTAGAAAGAGCATTTTTACAAACTTCATAAATTCTTGTCATAAGGCTTTTAAGGTTGCACTGTATTGTGTCATCAAAAAGGCATGTTCCTATTTTATTCCTATTTATATTTAATGCAATAATAGATTTAGAGAAAGATATGTCTTATTTAACATGCAAAATTATCAATACTTTTTATTCCTTTCATTTTACGGTAGTGACCATTCCTAGCTAACAAGACAGAGAACCACTGCCAAAGTACATTATATTAAAAAATTGAAGAAAAAATCCTCATACCTGTTAGCTTCTCAAGTTTCCCTGCAAGTTCATGTTCTACAGTTGCAGACTCAGGCTGTTCTTGTGCCAGATGGCTCTGCTGCATCACAAGAGCTGATTTGGGCATTGAGTCCCCAGCAATAGGTACAGAATGCACTACCTGTCCTGAAGTGCTCGTTAAATAGGGAATAAATTTTGCATCCTGAGGAATGACACCTGAATTCTCTATCTGTGGAAACCCTAGAACACTATTTGGACACTCAGACACAGAACTGTCTTCTGACACAATACGAACATCGCTGTTTAAGGGGAAAGAATGTGAAGAAGGTTTACGCCCTGGAGCTGCTGAAGAATATGCAACATCATATGAAGAATGTCCTACAGACAAATCCCTATCTTTCAGGAAGCTGGTACCATTAATTCCACCCTGCTGAAGGCAAGGAAATTTTAGCTTATCACTGTATCCTTCAACAAAATTGGCACCACTGTTATGATTTTCAACCGTGGAAATGTATCCATGCGGAGCTGAAGGACCACTCCTATGAAAGCGACCTGCCATTGGTTCAGTGGTTTGTACACTCTCAGCTTCTATTTGCGTTGAAAATGATACACCTGCTGGATGTCTGGAAGCTCTGACTTCATGTCCTGCAGCCTGTTTATTTTCCCTAGGAATATCAACTTCTAAGTCTGAGCTACCAGATGGGGTTATATATTTATTTCCCACAACTTCATTAGAACCTTCCCTTGGGATGTCCACTGCCTTTGAATGTTGACTAACAAGTCCAACAGGTATCTGTGTGGAATAGGCAATTTCATGTGCCTGTTGCTCTGACACAAATGTTCCATCTCTAGCATGTGTCATTGTCTGGTTAGGCTGTCCAATAGAAATCTGATTAGGAAAAGGAAAATTTGTATATTGATTCTCATCTTCAGTGGACAATGGAGTGCTGACAACTCCCAATGTTTGAGCAATACTTTTACCTGGAAATTCTGTGGAATACTGTATACTTTGTTTGGAATTATCTGCTGAGAAAACCAAATCATGACCCTGTTGGTCAGTAACAAGCTGTGCGTCAGTGTGACCAGTATTAGGAGGTAGAGGAAAAAATGCACTGGGTGTCTTTAAACCCAAGTATACTGCACTGGATGAATGAGATTCAGGAGGAGGTGGAGGAAAGCTATCTGAACTATTTTTGGTATAATTCTGAGAAGCAAAAGGCCGTGGTACTGGAAGCAAAGGCAAAGACCTGAGGCATTGAGCAGACTGTGAAGTTGCTATTCTAATGGGTTTACTGTCTCCTGTCACAGACGAATGAGCCAGTGTGAGAGATCGGCATTGAGCTGGCTCCAGATATGGCACTCGTTGTTCAACGTACAGACCTGGAATCTGTGAGAGCAAAATTCAGATTAATTATACTATAATTCATTATTTACATGTGAAAATCACTTTACCACATAATATTGTATCTCAACATCCTGCTGCATTAGTAAACTACTCTGTGTGTGTGTGTGTGTGTGTGTGTGTGGGCGTGCACACACAGGAACACACACACATGCAGGAGGCAGGAATGCAGGTGTGTGCATGCAATAGTCTTCAGCACACCTTAACAGGTTACTGGCCGAACCACCACATAGACCATGCTTTCATGCAATTTTACAATTTACAACATGTTTTAGCCACACAGGGTCATCATCAGATATATATGCATATATGATGATTTAAGTAAATTGTCATATTCTATCATAATAGCTAGGGGGGGCTGTATGTTCAAAAATTCATTATTACAAAAATCAATTTGGTTCTTATTAAAATAATCATCATATATAACAATTGTAAAATAATTTAAAATTATAATTTGAAATTATTATATATGTTAAATTAATTTAACAGGAACCAAATTGGTTTCTGAAATAGTAAACCTCTGGATGTATCACCCACATGGGCTATTATGGCACAGTGTAGCAATTTATGCGAATCACCACACAGACCTACTAAGAGTCATGTGGTTGAAACATGTTCTGAATTTACATGAATGCAGAGACACAAAGTGGTGATCTGACCAATCATCTGTGAAGTTGCAATGAAAACTGCATGCATATACATAAGTACACATACTGGTGTGGACAAAATAATGGAAACACTAAGAAACTGAGGAATAAAATTTGCGTTGGCTACATTTACAGAACTCAAGTCAGCAACACTGAATGTTCTTCAATTTCTTGAGACTCTCTAGTGCTTGTGTTGAGTGACAGCCTGTGTGAAAGAATCAGAAAATGGGAGACTTGTCTCATTTTGAAAGAGGACAGATCATTGGTGCAAATCCAGATGGAGCATCTGTGACAAAAAGTGCCACATTATTAGGTGCATCAAGAACAACAGTTTCTAAGGTTATCTTGGCATACATAAATCATGAGAAGATAACATCAGGGAGGAGGAACAGTGGGCAAAAATCAGGAATGACAGAAAGAGATCACTGTATATTGAGGATTGTTTTGAAAAATCACAGAACTACTGCAGCACTGGTGATGGCAGAGCTGAATGTTCATCTTGAAGACTCCATTTCCAGAAAAAACTCCCCAACATAGGCCTCAAAATCGAACATCCACAGTAGGGCTGCAACTGCTAAACCTCAGATTACTGAAAGTAATGCACAGATGCATAAGCACTGGTGTCATGACCATAAACCTGGACATAAGACCACTGGAAATGCACACTTGATGCAGGCAGATAATTATCCTTCAAGTTGTTCCCTACACCAGGAAGCCTTTACATTTGAAGAACACCCAAGAAAGCATACAATCTGGCATACCTGGTGCCAACAGTGAAACACGGGGACTGACAGTTATGTTCCAGAAACAAACCAACAATCGTGGCAGTGGAAGAGCCGACAATCACAAGCAAAAAGGGGCAGCAGGTCCAAAGATCAACAAAGACCATGTAAATTGTTTGTTTCGACATGAAGGGAATTGTTCACCTTATATAAGTTTCTCCTAACATTACAGTCAACTTTGACTTTCACTGTGATGTTTTGAAATGCCTGAGAGAAAATGTGCTACAAAAAAGACCAGAATTTTGGCACAACCACAACTGGCTCCTTCATCACAACAATGTGCCCAACAACACGTCCTTGAAAACTCCAAAGTTTGTGACTAAGAGCAACATGGTCATCATTCCCCATTCTCCCTATTAGCCCTATGATTTCGCTGTTTCCCAAATTGAAACTGAAAGTGAAGGGACAACTTTTTGAAACAGTGTTTGACATCCAAAAGGAATCACAAGTGGTATACAACAGATTTTACGAAAATGACTTCAACTTCCACAGTGCTTTTGAAGCATGGAAAAAACAATGGGATTGCTGTATAAGTTCCCAAGGAGACTACCGTATTTACGCATGTATAGGCCGCACATTTTTTGCCAAAAATTCAAGAGGAAAACTGGGGTGCGGCTTATATTCGAAATATTCGAAATCACACTTCATTTAAAAAAAAATTAATGTTGCCAAATTTCGGAATAATTTCTACTCCTGAAATAATATTCCAAGAAAATTATTTTTTCTATAATTTGTCTGAAAATTGTGCTGCAGCCTATACACGCACGCGGCCTATACATGCGTAAATACGGTATTTTGAAGGTGATGGCAGCCAAAATTGGGTTTCTTTTTTTACCTAGTCTGGGAACTTTCCAATAATATGATCATTCATTCCAATAGTATCTCGTGTCACAAGTAACACTTTACAACAGTTAAATACTTAGTTACAATGCTTTCCACTGTTGCACCTTCTCATCAAATTTGATACAGTTGTTGATTTTTGTTAAATGGAAAGAAAAGCTAGTACAGACTATGCAATATATGTTATAAAAGTAAATTATTACCTTAGTAACTCGACCTTGTCCCACAACATTGTTCTTCAAATTTTCCAAATACTGCTGATGCCTGAAATAGAACAAATCATGTGCATGTAGTAAACCCACATTTTCTTGTTGTGAGAAAGAAGACAGTAAAACAGTAGAACTCTTCTGCATAAAAATTTCCAACCTGATCTCAAATACTTAGACATGTTTCTAGAAGGCTGATTCCAAAGAGTGCCCTGTGAAATTCTAGATTCCATGAAGGAATATCATCAGTTTTGCAGATCTGATTACAAACCCACCAGCCCCAAATCCACTTTATGTTAAAATTATAAACCAAGAGAACTGTTTCCTCAAATGATATGACTTCTAAGTTGTTTCCCCCCCCCACCTCCATGAACTCCATTCACTTCGGTTTTTCTAGATCTTACACATACGGTAGGACTCCTTGGGCGAGTGATCAGTTCATCGCAAGGCCTCTACCTGTAGACAAACACAGAAAAACGCACACAAACATCCATGCCCTGAGTGGGATTCGAACCCACGATCCCGGCTTCCAAGCAAGCGAAGACAGTGCATGCCTTAGACCACTCGGCTACCGTGACCGGCATGACTTCTAAGTATGTTTTCATGTGCATGAGTGACTCTTGACAGGCTTTTGGGTAACTGATTTATTGACCACTTATGGATCATAACTACAATTATAACAGTCTCATTGAGTTACACGCTGTAACTACAGCACACTTAAAGCCTTCTCAGACTTCACTAGTTGTTTCCTGGTAACAGGTTTTAACACTTTCTGTTTATGCCCTTACTGTCTGACTCATATCCCTCACTTCAACAACTGAACTCAGTCTTCACTTCATCCCGCTTATAAATCCTCGGCACTGACCACCGTACAAAATATAATTTCCAGCAGTTTCTCTATTGTTGCCTGTTGATTTGTTCTGTGGAAACACGTTTGTTTGAGATTGTTACCTAGTAATAGGTCTACCCAGTATATTTTAAATATGTCCGTTACCAATGCCAGAGTTGGTATGTTAATCCAGATTACAGAACTGCATACTCCATGTTTGCATAATCTATTCCTTCAGACTCTGTGTATAACAAGTTTTGGTGTGCATCCCACAGAGAGTTGTGGGACACATAAATGTTCTATTTGCATACAGACAAACCAAAGTGGAGCCAGACATAGCCAATGAGTTAACATTTACATTTACATTTATTCAGCATTCCACAGATCCTTACATGGTTTCAAAACACCACGGATATAGAAGTAGTCAACATGAGTAAGCATAATTACATACTGCATCACATTTGTGCAATGNCAGCCATATATAAATATTTACAAAACATTTAACTGGAATGTATAAACGCACAAAACATTTCTACCACTTTTAATGCATGCTCTAAGTCCTGCATAAGTCCTTGTACGTGTACAATATAAATAGAACATACAGAAACATAATTTAACCAAAATGCACAGAGCAGCTTGCTGTTCAGCAAAAATTGCCAATAAATTTTCAATTTTCAGCCATACTGATGTGCAACATAATCTAGTTTGCACATGACCATGAACAGAATTTTTCATGGATCCCATAAGCCTTCTACAGATTTAGCCGAAAGTCAACGTACATGAATCACCAACTTGATTTAACTGTTCCCATTTTTAAGTAAGCTTCACAAACCTCAGAGAATGTCACTGATAATTCTGTGTATTACATTATGTAATGCAGCCTTTCTAATCTTGTTAAATATTACTTCGAAGAATCTGAGGCTTTGAAGGGCTAATTCACTTAACCTTTAAGGATGAATGTTATATATATCCACAGCAAGTAACACCCCATTGTGGCCGAATGTTATATCTATATAAGGCAGGACAGTGTTCATTTTGGGAGTGCTGACAGTTTGATCTTGGTTTGAAACCAAAACAAACCCACGCAAGGTCATGTCAGTTGTTCATTTGTTAGCTCTGAACAATGGAATTGTTTATCACGGAACTGGTTTCGATACTATTTATGTTTAGATATGACTGTTTATGACCTGGTAAGCCAAATAGAGCCCAGCTTTATTTTGAGAACTGAGGAGTAAATATTCAACTGCACACTCACAGAATAGTGCTTCTAGAGCTTTCAAGAAAGTGTGATGTATTCAAGGATTGGTTTTCAGTAGCGAATTATAAGTTAGGAAGTCGGTGTCAGATTGCTATGTATTTCTTTATCAGTTAAAAAGTCAGCGTCAAACTGTAATATATTTCTTTATATATAATTTTTATTTTGTGTCTCAGAAGAGATATACACCCACGGAGCCAGTATTACTTTGTGAGTAAAAGGCATCTTCGTAACTGTGACTTTCGGTATCAGTGTCAGACTGGCACTCTTCTCGACTTGTACTATAATTACTTCGCATCACTATTTTGCGAGTATCTAACATGTGAGAGTGTCGCTTTGTCAATCAACATAATTTATTCAATTTAGCTGGAAACCCCCTTCCCCCAGAAGATTTTCAATCGCATGAGGTGAATATCACAGTCAGTGATATTTCTCGGGGGAGGCAAATTTCATCTGGGGCCCAACTGAGTTGACTGGAGGTGAAACATTCACAACACTGGCCTACCAAACAAAAACAAAGACGTCGTCATGTGTGGTTGCTAAATAAGAAAAGCAGGAGCACAATTTTCTATTGTAAAAAGTATGAAGTGGCACACGCGCATCAGAGTGTGATGTATTGTAAACTGTGCAATGACACAGTTCAAACTCGCATAGAGTCTGAACAAAATATTATTGTATATAGTGTGATTATATTTAAAATATCTCCATGTCTTAAGGTTGAAGAAAAAGCTACGTTTAAGGCCTTTGGAATTTCATAACATATATAATAAAGATTATATTTTGCATTTTATGACAAAATAACCACAGTTAATTTTCATTTGTAAAAATTGCTCTTTTGTGTACATGTAGAAAATTTTATTGTCATTCAGGTTGTTTTTAGTTCGTATTTCTATGTTGCATAGAACAGAAAATATGTAGTTTTTTCTGAAAGTCTTCAATGTTAAAGACTTGGGGCCATTTATATTCCGGCAGCAGAGGGCTGCCAGCAATTTAAAAGTCCGTATGTTAAAGGTTACACACTAACCCCTGTATCTCATCTGGAGTCAGACCATGGCACTTGGAGGCATCTAAGTCATGCAGAGGTACTTGTTTCTCCAGTTGTTGGCGTCGAAATAGTGCACCATCACTCCCGGATATTGGGAGCTTCGAATGAGGCAACTGTTGCATATACTCTGCTGCCTGCAGATGGAAAAAATTATGTAAAATGTCTCCAATTCGAATAACACAGAAACTGTTATGGATGCAACAGAAATACATCTACATTACCATCACTAATTAGCAAGTTCCTATAACTAGTTCTGGGGCCCACTCAGCCTCCTAAAAAATGGATACCAGGGGCCCTTTCCTTGGGGTAAAGAGGCCAGGGCATGAAGGTGACCACTCACCTTCATGCCAAAGTCAAGAATACATGGACCTATGCATCCACTTTCCTATATGCATTCATGGCATAGTGCTTAATTAGTTAACATTATAAGGGGGTGAACCCTCTTGGCCCTTGCACCTTGACCACAGTGATCTATTATGCTTCTTAGTTAACCTTAACATTTAATAAGATCTAGAAGTCTGTGACAATGGTACTAACACAAATATATATTCCTGGACATTATCCATTGTCCTGTTTTTATTTAAAACACAACGTTTCAGAGACTGAATTCTGTCTACATCTTCAGGAAAACCTACTCAGATGAGCCAAATAGATAGAGCTAGTCCCTATCTCTGGAAACCTGCACCAACACAAGACAGGGTATACAATCCAAGCACAGCAAATTAAAAAACTCCACATGCATGAGGCCTAGCACCAGAGTACCATCGCAGAAGTACAAAAACTACAACTCCATCCAGTGTAGATTAAGTGGTAAAATTTGTGTTTTTATGATGGTACCATACAGAGAATTTCTCTCTCCAGTGACAACTTCTATTCTGATAGTACTCTGGTGCTAGGCCTAATATGTGTGGAGTTTATTAATGCTCTAATTTTTTTGTCTCAGTTCTCACAGATGGTTTGTGTTGTGCTTCATTTGTATACCCTATCTTGTGCTGATCCATGTGTCCAAAAATAGGGAGTAGCTCTACTGATTGGGCCGAAATGAATAGGTTTTACCTGAAGACACAGACAGAGTCCAGTCTCCAAAGCGCTGTGTTCTAAATAAAAACAGGAAAATGGATGTCCAGAAACATAATATTTCTTTACCATTTACCCTGCACATACACTAACAGTCCATAGATTAATTACCTCCATGGTCCAGGCTTTTTCCTTCATGATATGACAGTTACTTAGTTGGTTAACAAGTATTTCTTACTTTAAGAAACATGAGAAGTTCATTACCATCTCTATGATGCCATATTCATTCCCGAAGCAGCCAAGCAGCCACTATGACTTTTCCAGTTAATAATGCTGCTCACAATATTCTTGGTTTTGGCAGCGAAGGGTCATGCCATTCTTTGCTACTTAATGGTTTATGGCATAAGATAATGCAATCATGATACATAGCCTATGACAATTCATCCAAGAAAACTGCCACCCTCTTCACAGTGAGCCAAAAAAGGCCCTGCACATGTCGAGATACAGCTACTCAATTTCAAGTGTCAACTCACATGACGATAATGCTTTATTAGACATTCTGCTTCTGCAATGCCATCAGGAGTGATGATACTGTGTGCTCAGCCTGGCCAAAAAGCATCATCAAACTCCATCTTTAAACTTCAACAGCCACTAAATGATGTGATCATCAGATAAACACGTATCATCATACATAGCCTTATAAGTTATTAGTGTTCAATAAATTCAATATTAAATATTCAATCCGGGGGCATACGGCAGCGTAGTTGTTTAAGGCACTATGCTACAAGCCACAAGATTGTGGGTTTGAGTCCTGATGGGGTGGATTTTTCTCCCAATTTATCTTATCCTTCCAGCCACACTATGGCCCTGGGGTAAAATCAGCCTCTAAAAGAAACGAGTACCATGAATCTTCCTGGGGGGTAAAGGTCAACCAGCGTGTAAGGCCAACAACCTTACTGCCATGTGAGCCGAATGTCTAAAAAAAATGTGGGAGCCTCAACATCTCACAACCCTATGGGCCTTCACAGAATGTTACAGAGATAGCTTTACCTTTTTAATATTCAATCCAAACCCCAAGTCTAGTTACTAACACATGACAATACAATGGGTGAGCAAGATGCCAGTCTTTACTGCTAATTTATCCTGGGAAAAAGAGCTCCAATTATCAACTGGATAGGAGGGTGGGTAGTCCTCAAAAGTGATATAGACACTATGCTGGAGAGAAAAATATCTTACACCTGCCACAAACTGAACCATGATTCTATGGTTGTCCAGCCAATAGCCTACTATGAAACTTGCTGTTCAACTGCATACCACAATAGTACTCGTATAAGAGTAATGGAATTCAAAACTGAAAACAAAGAATTTAAGTAAGCTGAGCCTTGAACCATCACTATACTGATCACAACATGTCTGTTTTGTTAACTGCATGAATGACGCATATTAGAAAGTTATGCAGTGATCGCTGCCAAAATATCCGATGCATTCATGGTGTGGCTATACTTCCTTCTCATTTGAACTCTCTGTACTTACCAACACACTTTAAGGGCCTATAAAGTAGAAGAAACCTTAAAACGCAAACTCCATTCAAGGAAATTTGCTTTCATGCCTGTCATATCTTTTAAATTGCACACAACTTACCACATCCTCAGGGACATCAGGAGGAACCCAATCAAATGCAATGCTTTTATTTCCAGTAAAATTAGAACCTCTAAGAGCACTGCCTCCAAATGGACTGGGAACACTTGCTGATGACTCAGGCACTTTGATGTTCAGAACTACAGCAAAGGAACCATGGCATGTACAGCTTCATCAGTTTTCACATTCATCAACATCCCTCAAGAGTGAACAAAGCACCAAGCATAATTATTCAATTATTAATATAAAATGCATCCATAATTAATACTTTGGAGGTATGATCGGAATATATTGAGAAAAATACAAAACTGCTACAAACATTAAAACATTGAATTAAAAAGACGGAAGAATACAAGTATCACAACTTACCTAACACAACTGAAAATTAACTTAATGAAAGGATGTTTTTAGAAAGTTGAATTAACTTAAAAATGTACATTGAAAATAGTGTTCAATCAATCCCCTGATGTCACAAATTCATGATTAAACATACCAGTAAACAAAAGCATTGCAACACGTGGTGTATAAGGCACTTTTATTGTATAACAGCTAATAAAAATATAACAGCTGTGAAAAACATATAATCTGACTTGGCAAATTTTGGAAAGTACAGAGAGAGAAAGAAAAGACACATTAAAATTGAACCGTATATGGGAATAACAGGAGGAATATTTCAATTTCTCTTATTATAAACTCTTAGAACATTTGGAGAAATACAAAGAAGATATGGATTCACATACAGTAGCCAATGTTTTGGAATTTTGATGGGTCGGTTGTAACAGACAATCTGCTTTTGGAGAAATTAATTTATAGAATCACTAGGAGGTGGTAATCACTGCAACAGAAAATGCTTCGAAATCACATGGTAATTAAAACAGCCTCAAAAAATGTGAACATGTAAGAATACCAATATTCTTTCAACTTACATGCACCTGTACGTTTCTTCTTTCCAATGCCACTGTTGGCAAAGAGGATTTCAAATTGCTCATAACCCTCATCATCTCTCACATCATGTTCCTCCTTCTTGCATTTACAGTTACGACACAATTTTCTGTAAAATGACACATTTATAACCAAAAAGACAATTCATAACCAGAACAGAGCAATACTACAAGACCAAAACACTGCAGCTCGATTAAGCAACCTCATTATTTCAGACAGCAAACCAAAATGGCTCATGATTACATCTAATGGAGGCAAGATGTAATGACTTAGCACTGATATATGAAACATTTTTGCAACATATTGAAAGCAACAACATTTAAGTAGAGCAACAGTTCAGTTTCAGACCTTCTATATCAACAGATATGGCCTCCTTATCCTCTTAAACATATCTGGAGAGGACTGACTGAGGAGATATTAAATGCGCTGAATAACAGAATGACGGCTGGAGGCATCTTTTGTGACTTACTGAAAGCTTTTGTGTTAATCACATTTTATTAACAAAATTACAATTTTATGGAATAACAGGAACATCTCTTAAACTAATTATATCTTACCTAGTGGATAGATACAAATGGGTGATCTTAAACAATAATTCCTGTTCAAACTGGGGAGAGATAGAGCATGGAGTCCCACCCACAGGGATCAATACTTCTTCCACTGCTTTTTTACTTTACATTAATGACTTACAAAAAACAATAAATGATAATTCTGAAATTGATATATTTGGAGATGACACTAGTTTAATCATTATTACCCTTAACCCTACAAACTTTAAAAGAAGCGTTAACAACGTTTTTCAAGATATAAATACGAGTAGATGGTTCACCAATAATTCATTGTCACTAAATGTCGATAAGACACAATTTATGCCATTTATAACTAAGACTAGTTTTTAATCAATTATAATGAATGAGAACAAGAAAATAGTTAATATTTGTAATTTAAAATTCCTTGGACTAACACTGGACAATACATTTTCTTGGAAGACTCGTACAGATACAGTTGTACCCAAACTAAGTTCAGCTTGTTTTGCGATTGGAACAGTTATGTCATTCTTGTCCCAAGAATCACTGAAGATGGTATATTATTCCTATTTTCACTCTATCATAACTTATGGACTAATATTTTGGGGAAATGCTTGTTATAGAAGTCAATCAATCAATCAATCTATTTGTTCTGAGAATCCATATTTGGAGATACAACCTCTGGATATAGAACAAGTCAATGACTACATATTAATATAACATACATATCGTACATGAGTCAACAATACTATAAAACTTAATTACCTATAGATTTCATACACATCAATCATACAACAATACATCATCCCACTTGCAACAATTCTATACCAAAAGAAACCCAACATCCAACATTGGTTATAGATTAAGTGAGGATAAGATATTTGTCATAACATAAAACAATAACACACTCACTTCAGAATTAAAGGGACATAAATTCATCAACTGAATAAATGGAATGTTTCAACAGAAAGGATTAGACTACGAAAATAATTATTAGAATTATGGTGGGGATTAGAGATATAGATTCATACTATCATTACAATCTCAGTATTATATTCACTTTCATTGTTTGTGATCAATAATTCAATTCAATTCTTTCAATTCTTTATTATTTATGTGTCAAGTCAACAGCCGCAAGGCCAATTACAGAAAAAGCACAGTGTAGATAAAAGTAATTACATTATAGACAAACACATTATAAAGTAAAAGATAAAATAATTCAATTCAATTCTTTATTATTTATGTGCCAAGTCAACAGCC